CACCTGTCACTCCCTGGATAATGCCGGGATAGTACGGTCTATGACATACACTATTCAGCCATAGCCTTGCGTCAAAGCTGCAATGGAGAGCAGCCACTGGCGAATCGGTTATGTCTTATAGTGCAACAAGGTGGTGGAGCTTGTGGAAAATATTGCGCCGGATTCAGGCGCAAATTGAATATGTGCAGCCTTTCCTCCTTTCTGACCCAAGCCAAGAGCATTATAGCCCTTGTTGAAGCATTATAATCAGCATTATGAGGTAGTTTTTGGAGCATTATGATGGAATTATACGAAAATTTCGGAGCATTATCCGCTGGACCCTACTGACCACTACTAGTATCCACTAGCGCAGCTGTGTAGGTGGGGCGTTGTGGACTCCTCTGACCAAAGGTCTCGGTATCCTTGCACACAACGCGCACCAAGGGGGGGGGGGGGTTAAAAAGAAAGAAAAAAGAAAGAGTTAGGCCATCAGGTAGTATGCTAGTCTGTGGTGTACACGTCGACAGCAGTCCCACAAGTTTTCTCCAGGAGGTACTTGTACACTGCTACTTTGAAGCGTTGCAGCGCTGCCTTGGATGGGGGAGCTTTCAGGATGGCAGAGTGTAGAGCATTCCATGTTGTGAGTAGGCCGAACGGGAAGGATCGGTGTAGGATGTCAGGACTTATTGCGGGGAAGGTGTTTGACAACTGGAAGGCATGAGAGTGTTTCACTTGATGTTGGTGGCGGGTTCTTGTGCGGGCGGGCTCAGGGGCAGCAGGTGGCAGTATGTCTGTCAGCTGGGCCGGACCGGAAATGTAGTGCAGCTTGAACAGGTAGCACAGTCCCGAGACTTGCCGACGCACTGATAAGCTTGGGAGCATGGTTCCAGCGCCAATGCTGAGCATACACCGTTGCTGGATGCGGTCAAGCTTCACGAGGTTGGGCCGGGCTGCGCCTTGCCAGACTGGGGAGCATATTCCATGGTTGGGCGGATGAAGCCTTTGTATACACTGAGGCGGCCGTTGCGGTCGAGTACTAGACACACGTTCCTGAAGAAGCCAAGGCGCTGGCTGGCTCTGAGTGCAACCTGGTGGAGATGGCTGCGAGCCAGCAGTTTGCGATCGAAGGTCACACCGAGAAGCTTAACATCGGTTTCCTCTCTGATCACCGTACCATCGAAGCTGAGAGAAGAGGGTGGGAGGGGTGTTGATCGTCTGCTTATCAACATTCCCTGGCACTTTGTCGGCTCAAACTTGACCTTCCATCTCGATCCCCAAGCTTGGAGCTCATCGAGGGAGGCTTGCAGTGAGTTAAGACACGTCATCGGCACGGATCAGGCAGTACAGTGTTGTGTCGTTTGCATACGACGCTAGCTGGCATTCTGGGGAGACACAATCAGAGATGTCGTTGACATAGATAAGGAAGAGCGTTGGTCCTAAGATACTGCCTTGGCTTGCGGCACACCGGCTTGGATTGGGAAGGGCGAGGAAGTCTGACCCCCCAACAACAGCCCTTATCTTCCTTTTGCATGCAAGAGAGACGATGCTACAAAAGCAAAGCCCTTTGTGGGTTTTCTCTCTCGCACTGGTAATGTTCTGCTGTTGGGGTCGAATGCTAAGTCATATTATCATAATCTAAGTTTCGCTCTTCTGTGTAGTGTGAAGAGGTCAACGAACATGTAGACTTTCACTTTGATGAAGTAGGCAAGGCTGTGAGCGCTGTGGCTCAAAGCGATAGGCCCTAAATCTTACGAGATATTTCGAATGCTATTTTTGTTGCGAGCGCTTCGTCTTCGAGGAGTCCTGCCTCTTTCCTGCCAGGTTTCCTCCTATAGGGCCAGCCACGAAGTGACTACTCCGAAGTACTCATCTGCAGCCGATTAATGTTCTACTGCACAAGAATATTGCGTTTTCGCCAAGCCAGTGCCCCACCAAAGACCATCGCCATGTCCCACCGTCGGAACGAGTTCATGATGAGAATCATCATTCGCCCGAGCGTGATGAAGAACTATTTCGAAAGACAACACAGTCTCCACCCCCGGGACGACAACTATGCGTAGGTCCTGGAAGGGGAGACTGTTTCCCACGATAAAGACGAGGGCGGGTATTCGGCAACCTGGAGTTTTTTTTAATAATAATAATCTTTATTAAAGGATCTCCCAGAGGCGATGGCCTGTCGAGGGGATCTCCTGATGCAAATCATGCAATAGAAATAAACAGTGAGGAAAACTACACGTGTTACAGTATATGCTACATAAATTAGCAATAAACACAGGGCTGGGTTGTTAAAAATAAAACAATTAATTTAAATGTCCAGGGATATACCACTACAGTCAAATTTAAAACTTTTCACGTGCAAGCGATATTGCTGCTGAAATTTAGAAAGTGAATCTTGGGATGACAGCCTTGGTGGAAGGCAGTTCCACAGCTTTCCGATCTTATGCAGAAAGAGAGAGGAAGAGATGCGGCCATGAGAATTGAAAATCAGTTTGTTTGGTCGGCGTGCGCTAGAAGAGATATTGATGTCAAAGCGGGATAGATAATCTGGGTGCCAATGGATATACTTGAACAAAACGGTGATGGAAATGTAAGTGCGTCGGAAGTGAAGGGATTCCAAATTACACAGCCTATTTAAATTATTCTTCGATTCATAGCGATCAAAATCAATCTTCGCAGACCGCAGCAGGCATCTGCAGATCTTTGCTTGTAAAATGTCAAGCGATTCTAGCTGGCTAGCAGTAAGTCTGAAGCACCAGACAGGGATAGCGTACTCTACTGTGGGTCGTACATATGACTTGTAGAGTAGGGCAATATGTGCATGCGATAGATGACGGCCCATAAAGCATAACAAATTTACACGTTGGCGAAACTTTTTGAACACAGTAGTGAAATGGTCTTGGAATTTAAGATTAGTGCTGATCTCAACGCCTAGATGGATTACGGTACTTTTAACATTGAGTGGTACGTTGTCCATTTGGACAGACGAAGAGGGTGGAGGAGCATAGTTGGAGAACATGGTGGTCTTGGCCGCAGAAAACTCCCCGTGAATGCCTCTAGCCCAGCGCTGGCAGCTTGTTAAATCCAACTGGAAATTGGCCAGATTCTCACCAACAGGTAAACCGATGTTATGGAGTCAGCGGAGGTCGTCAAGCTCCTCCGCCTCCGCGATCCGGTCCATGTACAGACTCAGTAGGTGACATGTCGACACGAGCGTGCGGAAACACAGCATACTACTAACCTGAACCTACTCGAAGCGTCGAGGAGGTAGGGGCGCTCTGGCGGGATTTTACGGTAGTAGTACACTGTAGCAATGTTGCGAGAGTTTGTGGAAAAAGTTCAAGTCGGAAAATCCATCGCCTCCAAAAGCTACTTGTAGGTACTAGGTGGGCAATGCGACTCCAGCTTCAGACTACACCAGTCAGGACTTGTAGAATTAGTACTTTGTGAAGCAGCAGATCGAGAAGTGAGTTAGTTGAAATCGTAGTATAGCTGTTCGGTATGTCGGCGATATGTCGGTATGTACAGTCAAACCTCTTTAGGACGAACACCAAGGGACCGATATTTGTTTGCAGTAACGGGAGTTCTTCTTATCCGTATGGTATTCCCAGTGAATACACAGTGATTTATCCAATGGAGTTACGAATATTAGTTCTTCTTAAGCAAACACTTGTCTTAGGGGCCGTCCGTAAATATCGATGTTTTTTTAGAGACGATATTGGTGCGTCTGGGGGGGGAGAGGGGGTTTGAGCCATGTGCGTCTTTTCGAGCATCAGAAAAATATCGATGTAAATATCTGAAGTTTCGCCGATCCCTGCAAGCGGACGTCTAAATGGCTATACAAGAAATGTGAAACCAGCTTCCGTTCGCCGAGCCAAAACTCGCGACACAAGAACAAAATCAAAAATTGGAAGCTGTACGCCCATGGCGAATTTCAAGAGCAAAAGAATGAGCTATTGATTGTGGAAATCGGCCGAACGATGCCTGCAGGAGACCTTCTAATGCAGCACAAGAAGGCTGCTGGCCACAAGTGTTCTCGAGGGCGACCAAAAAAGTCATAATGCTCTCCTTCTCAATTAGACCATATAAATACTGCAAACTTGCCATCTTGGGTTCATATTATTGACAAAAAAGGAGAAAAAAATGAGCATCCAAAAATATTGATTCCATGATCTAGATGTACATGGGCGTCTTGGGGCCGGGGGAGGGGGGGGGGGGGGGGGGGTCAAGGGAGAGAAGCACCAATATCGTCTCTAAAAAAACATCGATATTTACGGACGGCCCCTTATCAGTGTTCTTCCTAACGAGATTTCACTGTAGCTTGTATTTTTTACGGAGAGTAGATCACCACGTGAATGTTCCTCTCCTTGCCGAGAGCTAGTTGGCCTCAAAACTCCGTCAGGGTCTGCCTAAGGTACCGACGGTCCTTTGACTAGCTGACTAGCAGGACTCCGTCAAGTAAAATAAAGCTAAACAAACAAACAAACATCAAATCCTTTATCTTCAGCTCGGTGAGCAAACGTCTCTCTCT